AGACCCAGGGGCAAAAGCTGTCACAAGGTAGCACATCCTTCAGGATTCCCCCATATCATCATTGATGTTCCAAAGGCACAAAGGCTTTGGGGGGGGGGCTTCACTTCAGGGGCATACCATCTAGGGAGCTAGGCTTCTTTGGTAGGCTAATCCTGTAGGCAGAGTGAGTGCAGGAAGTACACAGCATCCTAACGGAATTTGGAGCTCCCTAAAATCAGGAAGAAACTGTTTTAAAAGAAAATCTGTTTCCACCACTTCTTGAGTATTTAGACATGTCAACCAAGGAGACAGTCAATGAGGGTGTTTTCCTTCTATTCTAAGTTGCAGAGAAAATCAGGCCTAAGTCACACCTCCTTACCTCCAACTCCACACCCCCATTTTGTTTTTATTTATTTCTTTTTGTTAAGGGTTCTTTTGTTTATTTGTTTTTTTTTTTTTTATTTTAAGACAGGGTCTTACTATATATAGCACAGGTTGGTCTTAAACTTGTGATCCTCCTGCCTCAACCTCCTGAGTGTTGGAATACCATGGCTGGTCTCATTTTTTTATTCTTTGTTTTTCATATACATGTACTTAATTCCCCCCTCTCCCTCCAGACCCTCCCATGTTCCCTAGCATGCTCCACTTTTTCTTTAACTATTATCCTTACAAATAAATGAATAAATAAAAATAAAATCTGCTGAATCCATTTTATTTTGCTCATGTGGGTGTTTTTTGGTGCTGACCACTTGGTATTAAATAACCAATTGGGGCCCATCCCTGGGGAAGGCAGATTCTTCCTCTCTCAGCAGGCATTAACTGTAGCACTTCTGGGACCTCGAGCAATTCCCCCATCCACACGGGGATGATGTCAATTGGTATCGTCATTATGCAGGTCTTGTTTAGACACCCATGTTATTGAGAGCTCATGGGTGCAGCTTCTTCTTTGTCATACACACATGACACAATCATATGGCAGATGTTCTGGTCTTCTGGCTCTTACAATGAGGTAAGATGATGTTTCCCTAAGCTTAGGTATAAGGGTTGTGTTGTAGGCACACCAGTCAGGTCATCCCAAGGTCAGTGGGTTTTTGTATTTTGACCAGTTGTGGCTTTCTGTAATGGTCTCCATATGCATTTTTATTCTTTGGGGTTTTTTTTAAGTATTTAAATTTTTATTCTTAACTTCAGCCTTTCTACCTTTCTTCTGTCTCTGCTATCCTCTATGCCAGAGTGCTAGAATTTAGATAAACTAAGTCTATTCAGGACATGGAGAAGTAGCAAAGATCTTGCTGCAAATTTTGAGGTAAATAAACCAAACAGAGAAGACTGATTATGTCACTGATTTAGCCATTCCCCCTGCCAGAGCTCAGGGCTGGTGACCTTGTGAGGCAGCCCTTCGAGCAATGACATAAGAAAGGGTGACTTCAAGCTGGAGGAGGGCTCATAGCTTCCAGTACAGTTGCAAAAAAGAACCTATGCCTGCCTGCGGAGGCCCGAACCTAACCCTGTGCCAGGCAGGAGACCAGCACAACAGTACAGCAAGTGCCTGAAACACCACATGACTGATGCCAACTTCGCCCCACCTTTCATCTGCATCTCGGGAATTGTACCCCCATGCAGGCACTGTCCTGAGAAAGCAAGACAGCCTAATCTGGTACCGCAGCCCTGACTTTGAGGATCATGAACCCAAACCTACATCTGGGGTGTGTGTGTGTGTGTGTGTGTGTGGTGTGTGTGTGTGTGTGTGTGTGTGTGTGTGTGTGTGTGTGTCTTAACAAAGGGCTCTTTAATTCCCAAGCAGAAGTGTCTGCTTGCTGTTGAGGCTGTAGAATTACTGGGGTCAGAGGACAGAGCAGCCACTAGATAAACATAGAGGCCAGAAAATGGTGGCACACACACCTTTAATCCTAGCATTTCAGAGGCAGAGATCCATCTGGATCTCTGTGAGTTCAAAGCCACATTGGAAACAGCCAGGCAATGGTGACTCACGCCTTTAACCCCAGGAAGTGATGGCAGGAAGTGGAAAGGTATTTAAGGCGTGAGGACCAGAAACTAGGCCTGGTTAAGCTTTTAGGCTTCTAGCAGCAGTTCAGCTGAGATCCATTCTGATGAGGACTCAGAGGCTTCCATTCTGAGGAAACAGGATCAGCCGAGGAACTGCGAGGTGAGGAGGCTGTGGCTTGTTCTGCTTCTCTGATCTTCCAGCTTTAACCCAATACCTGGCTTCGGGTTTGTTTTTATTAATAAGACCCTTTAAGTTTCATGCTATACTGCCTGCACTATGTAAAAGATATCAAGTCAGCCAGGGCTCTATGGCAAGACTTAGACAAATAAATGCATAAATGCATAAATTCATAAATGCATAAATACATAAATAAATAAATAAATAAATAAATAAATAAATAAATAAATAAATAAATGGAAATTACCAAAAGAAAAAAGCAGGAAACTAAGAATGAGCCAATATAGTCAAGTAAATATGGTAATGTTTGTTTTATACTGGAATACCAACCCCACTCACCCACCACTGCACAATTAAAACAAGTATGGCTAAAACTGCCAAGACTGTGAATATAAACAATAGACCATAGCATATGCCTGCTACAAATCTGTAAGTTCTTAAAGTGTAGGCAAATAGGAATTGATTGCAGTGTGCTTTATTAACTCAAAAATAAAGGGTTCATTATTCACCTACACTGTATGGTACCATTAAAACAATGAAAAGGGGGTGGGCTTTCAAAAGAGTTGGAGTCACCCTGTGATGCTCACTGGGTTCCGTGGTCCTGCAAGAAGGAAAAGTCAAATGCCGTGAATGTGTGAAGAGGAGACAAATGTCAGATATTGCTAATGAGTGAAGTAAACTGCAGCTGCAGACTAATGTGAAATGGAAAGCTGGTCAGTCCACTGACCTCCTACATGTGCCACTTGAAGAACGAGCAGAGGAATGAAGCCACAGCTAGACTGGAAATACAATGGACCATGAGAATGAAAAAGAAATGACATGGAAGTGTAGTGGACTCCATGAGGGCTTCATTCACAAGACAGCACAGAGGTAAGGAAAAGGACAGCCGAAGAGGAAGAGTGGAGGGGAGGAGGAGAAGGGAAGCGCTCTGGAAAATCAGCCCAAATTGCTAGGATCAGACAGTTTCTTCAGGGACAAGAAACTGGCCTTGATCCTCTGCACTGAGGCTGGGCACAGTGTTTGAAACTGTTTAGAGAAATGCAGCGTGCTCCCCACCATTAATCTTCTCTAAAGAAAGGCTTTGTTCTGCACCTGTATAAACAACCCAGATTTTTAAAACCTATATGCTTGCCCCTAATGTGTGAGAGTATGTATAGTGATAGCTCCAAGTCATCTATAGGTAACACCTCTGCTTTACATCTTTCTGTGGGCACCCCACCCCCACCCCACCCACCTCACCCCACCTCCTTTTGCCTGGACAGGCTTGCCTACAGTCAAGTTCAAGTTCAAACACTCAAAAAAATTTTTTTCCACCTTCTGCTAAATACAGCTGCATTTCCCCAGCCCCCAAATATTGAAGGCAGAGGACCCTTTTATTCAATTGTCTCACCATGAGTAACTCTCCTACTCCCCTCCCTCCCCCAACCAAAGACAAAATGTACAAGAAAACTTCTGAAGTGGGAGCAAGGAGGAGGGAGTGTGTGAACTATCCCTAAGGGGGAGGCACGGCCTGGGAGACAAGGTGGAGTGAAGTCTGAGGGCTGAAATTAGCCCCGCTAGCCACCTGTTACCGTACTTCAGGCTGGGGCTCGGTTTTGGGCTGCTGTGAAGACTAGAATCCGGGCAGCTTCTGCCTCCCGCTTATCTGCTTGTCCCACCCTCATGGGGAACCGTGAACCAGGAGAAGGTCAGGGACAACTAAGCTGCCAAGGAAGGAAACTCAGTTTCCCCGTTGTCAGCCTGGGCAGTCATAGCTCAACCCCTCAAGGGCACAGTTTCTTAAACTGGCACACAGCAGGGGCTCTGGCTCGCATCTACCTCTGACCAAAGCCCCCCCACCCCCAGCACACATTTTAACTACCTCCCACCTCAGAAATGAGCCCGAAATCTTGTTTTACTCCCTCTGGGATTGGGGAAGGCAGGGTGTTTTGTTCTGAGTTGAAATGCAGCGCATTCTAGGTGCTGTTTCGTCGTTTTTGATCTTTCTTTTCTTTTTCTTTTTTTCCTTCTTCTTTCCTCTTTAAATTTGGCAAGGCAATTGTGCCGACTTACTATTCTGCATCCAAGAACTTGCTCTTCAATATGGCACCTAAAATGGTGATGGGTTCCCTCGCCTACAACTCAGGTAGTTCACAATAGCACCGTGATGCTGAAAACGAAATCACACAATTTGGAACTCTTACAACAATGGAAAGTAACATCTCAGTAACGTGGGTGAGGCGGCTTGTGGTGCCTGAAATGCTGTGCTAAACAGAGTCCTATTTATTTGCTATGCCAGTGACATCGCGAGACGGACTTAATAATGTGTAAGCTGAAGATGTTGTTTGAAGACGAAACGAACCAAAGTAGAAAAAGCGCTGTGTGGATCATAAAGCTATCTTGAAGGTGAGGAGAAAAAAATAAGCCGAGCGATTCACAGGTTGTTGGAGCTGCTGCTTGTTTTCTGCCCCTTCTCTGCCCTCTGAGAAGCCTTGGATAAGCAAACATGCATCTTGAGTGATGAACTTGAACGACCATTCCCGCGGAACGAACTGGGAGAGAAGCAGCGGTGGGTACGCTCAGATTCTTAAGAGCCCACTAAGACCAGCTGCAGGTAGAAAGATTGAGTGGGAACAAGGTCCTTTTGCCTTTTTGTCCCCAGATCTCACTTACCTAGCACAGATACTTTGAGAGTCAGTCGGGCCTAGAGGCCCAAGTCTGGGCTTTGCACAGACATTCCTTGCCCCCGCCCCACTGACCGCTCGACTTAGAAAAAAAAAAAACGATCCCCACCCCTTCCACGCCCCCGCCCCACCTCTTGTCCCCCTTTCAAACCCCCTCTACTTTCCCGGGGTGGTTTGTCCCAAGGAGTACAGATAAATAGTCCTGTCAAAGGGCGCAGCTCGCGGCTGCACTTCTGGATCCGGAGTCAAGTTCAGAGCCCCAGGCTGGAGGGTCAGCGGCCAATCGCGCCGGCTTCAGGCGCCCAGCTCATTGGGGAGCCGCAGTGCCACCGGCCCGGGTCTCCGGTACTCCTCTGAGTTCTCCCACGCCCCATCCTCTTCCCGGGAGCGGAAGCCGGAGACGTCGAGACTGGCCGGGGCGGAGGAAGGCGGGCGCGCGTGGGCGCCGGGGACTAGGCGATGTCCACCGGCTCGGTGAGTGACCCCGAAGACATGGAGGTGCGAGGGTTGCAGCGAGTCTACCCGGTCCCGATCTCCAAGAAACCGCCTCTGCACAGCGCCGAGCGCGGCTACGCCTCGCCCAGCGACAATTCTTCCGCGGAGGAGGAGGACCCCGACGGCGAAGAGGAGCCACGCTCTTTGGGAGCCGCGGGCGTCCCGGGGGGCTGCAAGAGGAAGCGGCCCCGGGTGGCCGGCGCCGGCGGCGGCGCAGGTGACGGTGCAGGTGGCGGTGCTAGCGGCGGTGGTAAAAAGCCGCTCCCGCCCAAGGGCTCGGCCGCGGAGTGCAAGCAGTCGCAGAGGAACGCCGCCAACGCCCGCGAGCGCGCCCGGATGCGCGTGCTGAGCAAAGCCTTCTCCAGACTCAAGACCAGCCTGCCCTGGGTGCCGCCCGACACCAAGCTTTCGAAACTGGACACGCTGCGCCTGGCTTCCAGCTACATCGCGCACCTGCGCCAGCTGCTGCAGGAGGACCGCTACGAGAACGGCTACGTGCACCCGGTGAACCTGGTAGGGACAGGGACGCGGCGCGGGAGGCCTAGGGCCAGCAGCCCTGAGCGCTGCCGGGGCGCAGGGCTGGGTCGGCCGCAGAGGTAGGGCCCAGAGGGGTGGTGTCTGAACCCAGCGGTGAGGAATCTGGTTTAGTGGTCCCCAAATCAAAGCAGGAGGAGCCAGCCTTTTTTCTTGGAGAAAAAAATCATCCAGCCTTCTGATCAGTGTCCTGGTCCATTGCCCAGTGACAGTTATTCGTTAACACCCTACTTCCGGGGTACACTGTGGCTCCCCACTGCGAGTATTTCTGCGTTTTAGACCGAATGGAAAAATCTCAGATGCCCAACGTTTTCCAGACAACAGCCTAGCAGATTTGAATCCGCCAGCGCTGTTTTCTTTAAAGGGGGAAGGGAAGACCTAACTCTTTAAGAAGTTTGAGTGGTTTAAAAAAAAAAAAATACAACGAACCACTAATGGAGGATCGTTTTCCCAGACGCGATTGTCCGGAAAGTCCCTGCGTAACCTGCCAGCTCCCTGGGCTTGGGAAAGATCTCATCCAAATTTACTCGTATGGGGGAGGGGACATTAAATCACAGACTCCTAAACTCTCGCACTTTTCACCGAAAAATCACGTGAGCAGACCACGAGGACGCATGAATGTACACTGTGGGTCTCGAATAATCAGTAACCGGTAAAATTAAGATTCTAATAGAAGGACAAGACGCACAAATTCCTAGAACGCTAAAAAAAAAAAAAGTCAGGAATCTCTGGGGAGAGCGGTTTCGTTTTGAGATTGTTTCTCCTCCGTATCTGACACTCATTTCGATTTTTCAGACGTGGCCATTCGTGGTATCTGGACGACCGGACTCTGACACCAAAGATGTTTCTGCAGCCAACAGACTCTGTGGAACTTCCGCTTAGATGGACAGCAACTCCGCTGATGGATTATGTTAAATGCGAAGGACTGGATCGGGGAGGTCCCATTGGATTCCGGACGTCTCCTTTCCCTGGACCTGCGAACCGGACGGGCGACTGCCCTCGTGGAGCACAGGTGGCCATGGCTGCTGTGGATCAGCGCAACTGTAGCCAAAGAGAACCTGGTTTCCGTGGGAAGAACTCGCGAACTAAATCCAACCTGGGACATTAGCTCTAAGCACAAACCCACGCCAGCCATCTGAGTCCACTGCAGAAACAGGAGGAGTTGGTTTTTAAGCTAGTGTCGATTTTCCCTGTGGTTGATGGCTAGGTCCTGAGCAGCCAGGTCCTTCTCTGGGTGGTTGAGCGCTCTTTCCCAGCGCTAGAAAGGCAAGGCCTTGGTGTTAGAGCCCAGCAGGGGCCTCTTTCTAAGTTTCTGAGGACAGTGGTGTACTCCCATCAAGCAGCTATCCTTTAGTAGCGGTATGGGACGAGATGGAGATATATACTACCAGAAACTGGTTTTGCCCTCAATCCCTCAGGGTTGGGATCCACTTCCCGAGCTCCCTCAACTGTCTGATCAGTGTTGGGACAGCCTGGCCTCCTAGTGGTCTCCACTCAGTGAGCCCAGCTGGATTATTTGAGTCTCCGGTCTCCTTCCCACCCACACTGTCCCCTGAAGTCTTATCTGACTGCCCATTTTGGGACATGCACTTCAAGACCCCTTTAATCAGGTCATCCCTGCCACAGCACAGCCTCCTGCGGGGCTCATGTTCTTCCAGGCACCCACTATTCTTCCTGGTCCAAGGACTGAGCATGGTGGGGGGCTGGGGCTGGTCTCTACCCACTGACCTGCTGGTTTCTACCCAGTGCACGGTGCTTAGTGATCCTGGCGAGACTGTGATGACGCTGCTCTATCATGGTAACTAACATATGTAAATAAATTTATTTTTTTAAGAACAAACCCATGCGGTGTGAAAATCTTTTCCAAGGCTGTTTGGTCTGTAAGTTAACTTTAAATGGGTAGGTCTCTCCTCTCAGCAGGGTATTGAGTTATTACTGCAGGAAGGATGGTGGAGGTCCCCATTTAGTCAAATTCCCAGTGTCTCTCTTGCTCATTTCCATTCTGATCACAGACATCTGAGAGGCTCGCCCTGGAAGCCCAGCTGGCACTGAATTCATAATCCTCTCAATGCTGCCCCCTTAGTGCTGGGATTGCCAACATGATTGCCAGAAAGAGCCACTACGTCAGATCAAAATGCTCTGTACTTCTGATCCTTCCAGAAGTAGGAATTCCTGGAAAGTAAGAACTGGAAGCCTGATAAAGCTGATGTATTTTGAGGTCAGGGTTGACTAGGGGCATGCATACACTTCTAAAATAAATATAGTATATTAATTAATTCCCCACCCTCATGTCTTTGAATCTGTGTCTCTCTGTCTCTGCCTGTCTGTCTGTCTGTCTCTCTCTCCCCCCTCGCTTTCTCTCCCCCCTCTCAAACACACACACACACACACACACACACACACACACACACACACACACCCCTTTCCAGCCTGACCCACACCCAAGTGTTTACAACTGCATGACTTTCAAGAACACTCCATGATCCCCACCCACTGGAGGCTACAGGTCTAAGATCTATCTGGCAAAATAGAACTATAGGATTTAAACCAAGCTGATTTTAACAAGTTCCTCCCGCCTCATCACTGGTATTTTTAATGCTCACCACATTTTCAGCATCATTTTATTTTTTTTTATTGCAATAGCTAAGAAGTCTGTACTATTCTCAGTCAGCAGACCCTCTGAACACAAAACTCATTTTGTAGAACATTTACAGAAGTGTACCTAAATATCTGCTAGACTTAGATTCTGCCTCTGACTTCATCAAATCAAAGCACACTTTTCTTGACCAGAGAGAAAACACAGCTGGACTTTTGAGAGGTGGAAGCAGGGGGTGGTAATGACTTCCCATTTTGAACTAAACCAAACCCAGACTCTGGAGGGTTGCCTTCTGACACCAGCTCCTGGTCCTGGGATCAGTTAGGAGCTGGAAGGTGAGAGGTGACATTGGTTTTTCTGCAGCATTATGGGCTTTCAGGTGAAATGAGCCCCAAATGCTAAGTGGCAAGAACCCCAGGCACACTGAAACACACTTCAGCTGTGAGGTCTGGGCAGCAGAGCACCAGGTGCCTGCTGCAGCCACATCTCAGGGAAGGTGACGCCCAAAGGCTGCAGCAGACCAGGTCCTTTTCACGGCCCACTATGGTGGTTGAGAACCGATGTCATCAGCGTAGGAGCTGGCTCACAGGCTGTCCTTGCAGCACTTGACAGGCTAACACAGAAGGGTCATCCTGAGCATAAAGGTAGGATGGCCACAGAAGGAGTCTCTGTAAGAGTGTTGCCAAGCAATGTGGCTCATATCTGAATCCCAGTAATGAGACGGGAGAGGCAAGAGGATTGCCATGAGCTCCAGGCCAGCATGGGTTACAGCATAAGACCCTGTCTTAAAAAAAAAAAAAAAGACAAACAAACTTTAAAAATAGTGTGCTGTCTAGTTTTATGTCAACCTGACACAAGCTACAGTCATCTGAAGGAGGAAACCTCCATTGAGAAAATGCCTCCGTAAGATCTGACTGTAGGACTTTTTCTTAATTAATGATTGATGGGGAAAGGCCTACACCATTTTGGGTAGTGCCATCTCTGGGCTGGTGGTCCTGGGTTCTATAAGAAAGCAGGATGAACAAGCCATGAGGGGCAAGCCCGTAAGCAGCATTCCTCCATGGCCTCTACATCAGTCAGTTCCTGCCTTCTGTTTCCTACCCTGTTTGAGCTTCTATCTTGACTTCCTTCAATGATGAACAATGATGTGGAAGTGTAAGCAAAATGAACCCTTTCCACCTCAACTTGCTATTAGTCATCATGCTCCATCACAGCCATAGTAACTAGGACAGAAAGTGGTACCAGGATTGTTGAGTATTGCTACCAGAGATCTGACCATGTGTTTCAGGGAGGACTTTGAAACTCTGGAATAGAAAAGCCTTTGTGTGTCGAGAGCTCAGTAGTCTGTTCTGCGGGAACATGGAAGATAGGAATGTTAGGAGAATGCAGAGGATGGAGGCTTGGCTTAGGAAATTCCAGAAGGAAGTTTGAGAGTCACTTAAAGACTTTATCAGTGTTGTTGCATATTTTGAGTTAAGAATCTGTGGTTCTGGTTAGCTGGAACTGAAGAATTGGCTGTGATTGACAAGAAACCATAACCACTAAAGAGAAAATTTGGCTTTACTGGGACAATTGATGCTGATCAGCTAGAGCTGAGAAATCAGATTAAGGAGATCAGCATCAATGGGATGAAATCTTCTGGGAAGTGTTTCCTTAAAGGCAGCACACAGAAGTTGGGTTCCAGAGGCTGCCGAGGTTGTACCTCATGCTGGCAGTTAAACTTGGTAGCATAAGAGTCACCTAAGTCATGCTGGTTTTAAAGGCATATGAAGGATTCATGAAAAATGGTTGAGGCTCTGTGAGAGGCCAGGATAGACCATTAAGAGCAGGTGCAGACTCAGTGGCAGTTGAAGCCCCAGAATTGAAGGAATCATGGAGAGAAGTTGAAATTTGGCACCATCAAGTGAGCCCAGGAGAGCTATTGGTGAAAATGCAGCCCAGCTATAGCAAAGAGCCCAGCATTTTGGAGATGCCAATACCATGAGACCATTAGCAGAAGTGGAGTGGAGCCAACAGGAGCCTAGAAGCCAAGCTGTATGTGCTGCAGAGGGCAGAGCCACAGAAGCGACCCAGACCTTTGGGAGGAGCCCAGAAGATTGTGAGTTGATCCTAGACATTGGACATTGAGTTATTTATACAGTTGGAGTTTGGTTTTGCTTAGATTTGACTATGACTGTGCCCTGATTCTTCAGTTTGAAGTAAGAAAGTACTTGACTTTTTTTGTTGTTATTAGATTTTGCAGGGGACCACAGTTGAAAGACTTTGAACGTTTAACAAGATTTTGGGAATTCACAAAGACATTGGATTTTTAAGAAGACTGAATATGTTAAAAAGATTTTTAAAAAACTGAATTCTTAAAGACTGTGGGATGTCTTTAAGAATTTGCAATTTAGAATGTTTATATTGTAATGCTAATGTCATGTGTGGTCTTGTGGATGAACAAGAAAGGAAAGGTTATGGCTTGTGATATGTTTGCATGTCAAGTTGACAAGGGATCAATTGTGCTGGCTAGTTTGTATCAATCTGATACAATCTAGAATCATCTGAAAGGAGGAAACTGCAACTAGAATCTTAAAAGGTCTTATTAATAAAAACAAATCTGGAGTCAGGTATTGGGGTGAACTCTGAAAGATCAGAGAAACAGAACTGATAAGATAAAAGGTAGATTTTTAGATCTACTAAAAGTGAGAGAGAGAGAGAGAATATGGATATGATAAGATAAAAAGGGAGATTATTGAATCTACTTTTAAAAAGGAACTACTTGTTTTAAATAGGATAAGTAATGAAATGTTAATGGACTGGACATTGTTTATATATATATATATATATATATATATATATATATATATATATATATATATATAATGGAGTTTTTTGTCTGAATCTGTCAAATGTTAATGGACTAGACATTGTTAATGTAATTCTTGACTGTATATATTATATACTTATTGGATATATTTTTTTCTTGTATTAGTTATAAGCTTTTTAAAATTTTAGACAAAAAATGGGAAATGTGGTGATATTGTGTCCCCCAATATTTTGTGCACCTTAATAAACTTATCTAGTTTCAGAAAAACAGAACCAGCCACAGCTAACCTCACCTCACCAATTCCTCAGCTGATCTTGTTTCCTTAAACTGGAAGCCTCTGAGTTCTCATAGGAAGGGATCTCAGTTGAACTGCTGCTAAAAGCCCAAAAGCTTAACCAGGATCTAGTTCCTAGTTTTCATGCCTTATATACCTTTCTGCTTCCTGCTATTACTTCCTGGGATTAAAGGCGTGTGTCACCATGCCTGGCTGTTTCCAATATGGCTTTGAACTAGCAGAAATCCGGATGGATCTCTGCCTCAGGAATGCTAGGATTAAAGGTGTGTGTGCCACCATTTTCTGGCCTCTATGTCTGTCTAGTGGCTGTTCTGTTCTCTGACCCCAGATAAGTTTATTAAGGTGCACGATATATTGGGGGACACAATATCACCACAGAAAACCTCCATTGAGAAAATGCCTCCATAAGATCCAGCTATAGAGCATATTCTCAATTACTGATTGATGAGGGAAGGCCCATACCATTGTGGGTGAGGCTATCCTTTGCATGCTGGTCCTAGGTTCTATAAGAAAGCAGGTTGGGCAAGCCACAGGGAGCAAGCCAGTAAGCAGCACCTTTCCATGGCCTTCGCACTGGTTTTTACTTTCAGGTTCCTGCCCTGTTTGAGTTCCTGTCCTGACTTCCTTCAATGATGAACAATGATGTGGAAGTGTAAGCCAAGTTTCTTCCCCAAGTTGTTTTGGTCATGGTAACAGTAACAGCAATTGTAACTCTGAGTAAGACAAATGGAAACCAGACATTTCTGAAAAGTCTGTATTCACATCTAGGCTTCGCCACTACACTACACCCAGCAAATGTAAATTAATTAATGCCTCCTAGTCTCTGCTTCCTCTTCTGAATGGAGTCAATAGCAGGACCTGCCTCAGAAGAGTGCTTCAGGAACAAGTCCCAGAGTATAGTTCAGCATATTCATTATTTATGTGCTGAGCAACACATGAAGAGCTCGCTGATAAAGGAAATTCAGAGGCAGAGGTCTTAGGCCAAAGGACATTTTGAGGAGTTTAGCCTCTAAGACTTCAAAGTCAGGGAAAGTGCTACAGTCTGTCACTGCAGCTGTTTGGGAGGCTGGGGCAGAAA